CCATGCCCCTAAAAAGGAAAAACCCCCCAAAAAAAAAAAAAAAAATACACGTAAGCAAATTGTTAATGCTATTCACCATCTCTGAAAGTAGGGAAACCACTCTTTCTGTCTTATTCATTAACCCATTCATTCAATTAGCATTCATTACTTACTAGTGCTCAGTACTACTTCTAGGCCTTGAAAGGCTTAGGAAGAAAAAGTAAGTTACAGGCATTAGAGAAATTATAGAGAAAAGTTAAGGATGAAATAGCATCTTGACCAGGTAATTAATTTTACAACATCATGTATTAGTGGCCGATATGGATATTAAGAGACAAAAGAATAGCTGACTGCTTATGAAACATTTCATAAATCTGTGTATTTATTCTGATCATAAGCTCTTTGTAAGTGTACTGTGTAATAGGTGAAGAAATATCCCATTAATATTTTTAGAATTCCAAGTACATTTCATTTGAGTCTATCTAAAATAGGAAGAAAAATGTATAATGAGAAAAGACAGAGATATTATTTAGAGTAAACTATTTCACATTATTGGTCAGCAGTGTTTAGAATGATACAACTTAGACTCTGATTTATAGTTTTGCCTCTAGAAAAGATGTCTATTGTTATGAATGTAATAGATGTAGGTAAGAATTTTTGAAAGTTGCAGCACTGACGTATAAACAGGAGCATCTGGGCTGACCATATTTGTGGCAAATTAGAAAAATCAGTTTAAGTTTTATTAGGGTATCAAACACTGATAACATAATGTGAAATTTTCTGCATTCCACTATTTGTGCTATTTGCTCAGGAAGGTAAAATGGAAATTTTCCATCTTACACATTTAGTTCCCCTCTTGAAGTTGGCAAACATTGACTTTTTCCACTGTATTTCTATATAACTGGACTCTTGCCAGCCTGTGTGTGTCTGCATGAGTGTGTGTGCGTGCGCATTAGTAGTGAGGCATACTATCACTGGTGCTGTTAGCCCAACTTATCTGCATTTCGGAGTTCAAACTTATTTCCCTCTGTGGGCATTTTATAGGAGTAGATTTCTGGTTATAGATAGTCCTTTGTAGGTTTGTAAATGATCTGTTGTCAGATCACTCAGACTGACACAGATAAACTTCCCCTGAAGTTTTGCACTCAGGATACTGCTTCTGGGAATGTTCCATGGCTATAGCTATGAGATCACCAACATTTCTGTTTTGTACTCTAGCTTTGCCTGAGCAGCTACACAGGATCTATGGCTTTTGTACTGTTTCTGATATGATTCCTTCACTTGGGTGATTTCCTTCACTTGTCGATTCTCTCAAGTCCAGCTCAAACAGCCAAGCTACTCCATGTCACATAGTAGAAAATTATTCCTGCCTTCTCCACACTCCCTGTACACTTCATCTGACATCAATTACAAGATACCTGCACTCTACACACCTGTAGGATGCTCTGCACACATCTATGGGGATCATGATCACTCTGTAGAGCAATAATATTTTAAGAAATGGGTGTTTTTAGACTGGCAAGCCTGGTGCTGTCTCTGTCACTCTTTAACTATTGACTGAGCAGTTCAATTTCCATGCTTCTAAATAGGGGATTGGTAATGATCATTTCATGATTGCTTTAAAAAATAGATAAATAAATATACTTAAGGAGTCTCCATTTCTTGGGGGTTTGCTATAACCAAGCACTGGGTGAAAAGCTTTATGTAACATAAAGTTGGTACGCCGATGAGTGTTAATTCTTTTGGTCCTAATTCTTGGACTGAGTAGATACTCACTGAATATTTCTCAGATGAATGAGAACTGAACATGAGCTGGCAGCAGGGCCCTGTCTGCTGAGTCAGCTGCCCTGAGTCAGCGGTTGAGGCACACACAACATAGGTCTCTAGAGAGGGAAGATACTGACTGAGTTGCAGTTCCCACCTATCCGGCTAAAGGACTGCCATGGCGTGATTCCTAAACATGATGGTGAGCTCGTGGGGAGGGGAGAGTGTCACTTCTGAACTACATTATTTCCTTTCCCACTGTCTCTCTTGACCCTCCCCTCCCCACCCCTGCTGACCAGTGCAGATCAGAAGAAGTGCAGATCTCATTCTGAGTCACCCAGGGTTGTAATTGGTAGCACTGCACATTTGCTATATCCCATGGAATACAAGGGGCATTTCTTGGCAAAACAAAAGAAAAGAAAACAAACAAACAAAAAAACAACTAAATCACATAAGCACTGTATCTATTAGTAGTGCTAAATGTCTGAGGACGTTAAAAGGTTCATGAAAATGACACCTCAGTGGGCCCAGCAGATGGCATAATGGTTGGATCACTGAACTCCCATGTAGTCAACTGTGGTTCAAGTCCTGGACCTGGTGGCTTAAAACTCACACCAGGCACATGTGCATGTGTGCTCAAAATCCTGAGAGCACAATGGAGGAGAAGATATTGCAGCGTGGCTGTCCCCCTGTGGGTGATTCCTAGCTTTCTATCTCTGTGTTTCTCTTTGTCTCTCCCATGAGCACATGCAACCTATAGCAAAAAATTTCTCTTAATTAAAAAAAAAAAAAAGAGAATCATACTGCAGTAAAATGACATTTCCCACCCATGGACTCTTACAGATGAAGAGAGTTTTGGGGATCTCCAGGTCAATGATTCATAACATTCCCAGTGTTTTATGTCCATGAGCCATTGATTAAAGTATTAGCATTATGGGGTATAGCATTATTTTTTTTCTTTTACAGCTAAGCTAGTCCCATCAAGTGAGAAGTTTTGAAAGCTTTTGCAAGCCCCTAGGATACCATTTCACACGTCAAAACCATGGTATTTGAAACGATATTTGAGGGACCTTAGAAAGGTTTTTCATAGCCTCCACCCAGGCTTGACTTGTTCTTAGGAAGCAGTTGTCCAGCACACGAGTCTGATGAACAGAATTTCCCATGATGCATTAGAAGGCCAGAGTCCCCATCTTGCTCTGCCCCTGAAGGCTGGAGTTAATGAAGAAGAGTTTTTATGTGAATGTCAGGCATGTTGCAATAACTAGCCACAATGGAATAGTCATGGCAATTTCCACCACTTGGTTTCTTTGTTTTTGTGATGTTGCTGCATGCTTCATTTTATGAGTATTTTCTTTTCTTATGTGTGGTTGAACCCATCTATTGCCATTTTGGGCTTGGATACTTGTATTTAAAAGTATCCAAGAACAGAGGGAGAAACTGGAAAATTGACAGGATGACATATTATTTCCCTCCCCCCACTTCTGCTGACAGATATTCTGCTGACTAATATTGTGATGCGTTTGTGTCTTAAGGAGAAGGAAATGAAGATTATAATGAGGCGTAAAAAAAGTATTGTGAAAACTTGAAGACTTTTTTTTTTTTTTTGTTAGTGTGTATGTACACTCACCAGGGAGAGAGAAAGAGAGGGAACATGAGGGATAGCAAGCCCTGCAGTGGGGCATGGTCACACTGCAATCCCATTTTCTCCATTTCTCCATCCATTCAGGATTTTAGGCACACTCCTGGGGCCAGGATTCTAACAGTAGCTGACCATGAAGGATCCAGCTCCCAATGCATGGCTGTTAAACACTGCTATGGAATCAGCCCGACATGGGTTCTTTTGGTGATGTAAATATCATGGATACAGACCAAGTCTAGTAATACTCCTGCCAGAATATGATTAAGTGGAAACTGCCAACAATCTTTTCAATTTGGCTATCTGGGCTAAGTCACACGTGTCTTTGGGCACTGCTAAGTTCATCATAGCATTTATTACCTGAATGTGACTTTATATTTCAATGAGAACAGTAGGACAGAATGGAAGGACTGGTGAAATAAGGGCAAAGAATTATCTCACCGCAGAAGGGCCTACTTGGAGAGTCTATGTGCCTTACATACATTGATTCCCAAGGTGGAAGTCCTTGCATCTGGGGTGACATATGTGGGGAACTAAATGCATGCTTTCTGGGGACAACTTTCTGAGGGCTCTGATCAAGCCAAGCAGAAGGGCTGGGGGGAGGGGGAGTCACATCTTAGGTGGGGAGTGAGGCTGAGGATGTTGAATTATTATTATTATTTTTTTTGAGAGAGAGGGGTTTTGCTATAGGGCGCGTGCACTCGCCAGAAAGACAGAGACAGACAGAGACAGAAAGGGAGAAATCACCCCCCAGGGGAGATGGCCATGCCGCAATCCCTTCTCCTCCGTTCTCCTCTCGGGATCTTGGGCATGCACGCACACCCGCCCGGCGTGAGTTTTAAGCAACCGGGTCCAGGATGCGAACCGTGGTCGACTACATGGGAGTCCAGCGACATAGCCATTAAGCTAACTGCTGGTTCCAGGATGCTGAATTCTTAAGGAGAACGTGCCACTCTGCAGATGTGACATATTAAGAGAATGTGCCTTCACTCCTAACAGCCTGTGTTCAGAATCTCACACCCTGTAACACTTCTGTCACCTTTGTCTCATCCCTGCCTATTTGAAAAGATGCCAAAGGCATCCTTCCTGCTCCACCTATCCAGTTCCCAAGTTGTCATGTGCATCCAATCCCTTATATTAGAGACTCTATTGCTGTTTGTCACTTTCTAGTTTCTACTCTCTACGCTCTCTAGTTTCTACTCTCTTCATTCCCCCCCTTCCCTTTATGATTTGACATCAAATTCTGTCGAAAAGCTGACACTTTTTCATGTTTAAAAAAAAGTTCAATAAATAAGGCCAGGAAGGAGGCGAAGTGTCTCCTTGCTGTTACCCTGTTCTGGAGTTCTTCAACTCCCAGGCGCAAAGGAGGGAGAGTGTGTGCGTGAATGCGTCGAGAGGGAGACACAGTTCGGCCTTCGAATTGGCCAGCCTGGTGACCAGCAAGCCCGCCCCCACCTCTTCCCCTCCCCCTCCAGCGCTCACACTCAGGAAGCAGCTGGCTGCAGGCCGGCCCGCACGGACGCACACATCCACACTCCTCTCCGGGCCGCCTCCCTCCCTTCTTTCCCGTCCCCTTCTCTGCAACCGCGTCCACACTGCGCCGCCTGGGCAGCCCAGAGCGCGGCGCGCAAGGGCACGGGCGCCGGGGCCTGTCCCTCCTCCCCCAGCCCTCCCTGCACCCCTGGTTCGCGGCCGTCTGGGCTCACATCCCGGGTCCCCCGACGGAACCTGCGGACAGCAATTAGCCAGCATCCCGGCCGGCCCCAGACGCAGCCCCCCAGCCCAGGACGAGGATGGGCAGGACAGGCGAGGCACTAAGTCGCAACTCAACTTTTTAAAAACATGATTTGTGTGTGTATGTGTGCAGCGGGGGGAAGGAGCTGATGCTGAGGGTCCGGCCACCCCCCTTCTGCCTCCTCCTCCCGCTGCCGCCGCTGCCCTCGCAGACGCGCGCGCACACACGGCACTTGGGCCGGGTTTCCGCGCTCCGTCCCCCGGCTTGGATGGGAGTTTTCATTTCCGAAGGCTGCGGAGCCCGTGGAACCCGCTGAAGGGCTACAACCCCGCGCCGCCTGCTGTCACTAGCGCAGGCTGGCCGCGGGAAGGGACCCGCACGCCGGGCTTTGTTGTGGAAATCCCGGTTACCTGGTAAGTGGATGCCATAGGAACTTTGCTCGCTGGCGGGAGACGGGGAGAATTCAGGCGCCTGAGACTGGGGGGAGTTAAAGCTCAGAGACGCAAACTGGGATTAGAAATAGTTTTCCACGCGTAGCCGGCGGTGTTTGCGCGGGTTTCAGGATAGCGCACCCCACCCCCAGACTCGAAGGGATTCGCCGGGATAGACGGCGACAGTTAAGTTAGAACTCAAGCCCTGTCCTTGCCAGTTGCCTGAGAGTGCCGGGTGAAGACGGAAAGGAAAATAATACGGCTTTTAAAGTTTCGCTAATTAGGAAGTTTTTGGTCCCGGTTTTCCTTTTAAGCTACAGGTTCCAGGGCCACAGAATCCAGGCACGTTACAGGACGCACGGGCATGGGGCACGTCCCCCGCCGAAGCAAACTTTGGTGAAGTGGGAATGGATGGGGTGACGTGAGGTCTTTCGCGCACACATGGGGTTGTAGTTGCCTTTCAAGTTCCACGTGTTGGTGGAGCTCCACGAAGGCTGTTTTCCACCCCTGTGCCTCGCCCTCACCGGTGACCACATGTTCTGGGGGGGGTCCTCAGGTTGGAGGTCCGTATACCAGTCGCGGGGACCAGTCCCGCGACCCGCAGCCACTCGGGTCTATAACTGGAATCTCTCCCGCCGCAAATACGCAGACGCTTTCAGACGCGAACACTCCCCGCCGGGTTCGTCACCTCGCGTTTACATTTTTATGGGGCTCGACAAAATGTCAGCACTGTTTGGAAAATGTCTCAGTCTCGGAGACTTTGCCCTGCGCATGGCTCCAGTCCCTACAAATGACCCTGTGTGTATTTTGAAGTCGGCCCGGGCCGCTCGCTGGAAAGCGTGAGTGAGCCGCCGGCTCTCCCCTAGACACACACCTTGCCCCGAGCGACAGTCCCAAGTTACTCACTGGAGCTGACAAGTCACCTCGGGGACAAGGAAGTCACCCAAGTGTCTGGAAATCTTGGGCCTGGCAGATTTGTCATCCTAAGGATGATTCAATTAGATACCTGGAGGGGGAAACTTTGGGGAAAGGTTTCTGGCCCCGCGAGTCGCAACCCCTCCGACTGTGGGTGTTCCGGAGGCGAGAAGCGAAAGCAGACCCGAGGGCTCGGAAGCGAGCGCGGCATGCGCGGCGGGCGCTCGGGGCCAGCGTGCGGAGGCGGCGTTGCACAACAGGAAGCCAGCACGAGTTTGTTTTGTTTTGCTGCGTTCACTCGCTCGCCGACATGGCCGAGGGTTAGGGGCGGAGGCGGCGGGGGAGGGACGGGGGCGCTTGCGCGCGGCCCCCGCCGGGCCCTGTCGCCTCCGCCTCCGGACCCGCCCCAAGCTCAGCGCCTTGGAGCCCAGGGGCTCTGGCCTCCGACCGCGACCGATCCAGCTAGTGCGGTAGGGAATCCATAAGGGCTGCCCTCGTTCAGCCTGGCTCCTCACCTTTCTCCCCCGCCTGCTGGCCCGCTACAGCTTTCTTGCCCACCTCTGAGCCGGAGTGGTCCCGCCCCCCTCCGGAGCTAGGCCTCCCTGGCTTCACCTTGGCCTTGACCTCTGGATCATCTAAACCCAGGTCTGGGGGTCTGGGAACTCCTTCTGTAATCCAGGGAGCAGGGTCCAGAGGAACTGGGCTCCTGCAGTTGTGGCCCCTTTTTATAGAGAGGAAGGCCCTACACCTCTCCCCGAGTCAACAAAGCCACCTTCTTCTAGGACATCATGATCTCCTAAGGGTTGGGACTCGGGGAACCCTGGCGACTTTTGCAGTTCGTTCTAATGGACCAGTTAATTGCCTTTAGGTCCTGGGACCGGGAATCTCAAAGACATACCATTAATACTAGAGGGGACCTTGAGGATCACCTACAGATGAGGAAACTGAGCCCACAGAAACTTTAGGCACTTTGCCCAAGGCCTGACAGCTAGTTGTCAGACTCAGTTCAAACATTTAAGGTTCCTGGTTCAGAGAACATTTCTTGGCCCAAAGATGAACTTAAGACTAATGCAAAGTCTTGTTCTGTCCCCTCTGAAAGCTTTGATGAGTCATGATTTCTTCCTTGAGAGTTAGCCAGACGTCCGTTTCCCCCTGTCTCCTTCTCCACTGGATCTCCCTTTTTAGACTAAACTGGGGAGCTGTTTTGTTTTTGTTTTGCAGAATTGATTTGTGTTGGTTCAGATTTTCCTATTCCTTCTCTTCTCCCTTCTCCAAGTTTACTCCCAGTGGTGCTGCATGAAGCAGGTGTAAGCTGTGAAAGTTTACACAAAAAGGCTCTTCCGGAAAAGTCTGAAGCAATTTAGAGACTGGAGAGTATGATATGTTATCTTTGCAGTTGAGAACACAGTAAAGTTTAAGTATCATCTTTAAATGTACTGATGTCTTTATGTATTTTTAGTAGTTGTCTGTGCAGCCAGATAACTCTAGCACTACCTTTGACAGGTGGGAGACATTTCTTTTCCAGCCATTTCCAAAACATTTTTCCTTATGGGTAGTTTGTTAATTTCCTTCCTCTGTTGATCAGAAGACTAAGCAATCCTTGAATGTAAGCAGTTAAATTTAACCATTGCAGTAACTCCTTCTCCTTGGTTTGATTTAGGCCAGTTTTCTATAGCATCTTTCCTCTCATCCCTTGACTCCACTCAAGGTCCTTCATAGTTAGGTTGTCAGAGGTTGAATACCTGGGTCTGCTTGGTTTCTAGGAAAGGCCACCTTTGTGAAGGGAGGTAGAATCCAAGGTCCCCCTAGTGGGGGAAATTTCTACTGGGCCAAAATAGGTAGGTGGGAAGGTTAAATAATAGCAAATTAATATTTTGTATTAGCCCTACCTTCTTGAAATGGCAGAAAGTGGTCTTTCCATCTTTTCAGAAAGAGCTCAGTGTTTTCAAGTGTTTTGTTTCTTTTCTTTTTTTTTCTTTTTGCTGAGTGTTCTTTCCTGCTAATAAATTAAGCCTGAGGACATTCTTTCTACTCTCATATTGTAGTCATTGATCTTTGGTGTTGGAATGTTAATTTGCAGTTTGGCCAGATTATAGGAGTATTTAAGAAAGTGACATCTCTTGCACCCATTCCTAGAAAAGTCATTGCTGCTCATTTCCTCTGTCTTCCTAATTGTTTCCTGTAGAGGGTGTTATAAATAAGGTGAAAATACAGGACTTAGCTTTTTAACTTTTCCCTGATTCATAGACTCAACCCAGACTCGGAAAAAAGGCACATAGGGAATCTGTGCAAGAGCATGTTACCCTTCTCATTTGACGAAAATGAGACGTAGCACACAACCTTCATGGTGACATTAGTATGTATGACAGTTTAATTAAGAGATGCCCAACTTCTAAGCTTTCCTAGTTTCCCACTTACTTTAGGCAGGGTTAACACAAAAGGCAAATTTTTTAAAATTGAGATTAAATAAAGTATTCTTAGAGAAAAGCACATGTCCTTAAGTGTGATGAAGTTTTACGAACTGAACATACCCGCGTAACTAGCATCCGTATGCTCAAACAGAACGTTACACATGTCCCAGAAACAGCTCTCATACTCCATTCTGGTTACTGCCTTTCCCCGAGGTATCTGCTGCCCTGACTTCTAACATTCTATCAGTTCTGCCTGTTTTATTTTTTTAAATTATTACTATTATTTTTGCTTTTTAAATTACCTTAGGTAAATGAAATAACTCATAACTCAATATATACTTTCAAGCCTGTTTTTTTTTTTTTTTCCTTAACATAACAGCCTTTTAGGAGGTCACATAATTTGGATTCTCTTTAAAGATGTTGGAAATAGTTTGACTTGCAGAGATTAATTGGTCAGACATTACTTAATGTAATGAATTTAAGAAAAAAATGCCATCTTCATATCCTAATGGCAATCTGGTTAGAAAGAAGGAAGATTCCAGTGAAATGTCTAGTATGACATCAGTGTAGGGTCAAAAGGGGAAACTGGGACCAGCAGTTAGCATAATGGCAATGTTGCTGGACTCCCATGTGGTCAACTGCTGTTCAAGTCCCGGACCAATGACTTAAACTCACGCAGGGTGCGTATGCGTGCCCACCCACCCAAGATCCCAAGAGGAGAATGGAGGAGAAGGGATTGCAGTGTGGGGAGTGATTTCTCGCTTTCTGTCTCTCTGTCTCTCTTTGTCTTTCTGGCAAGCTCATGCACTCTATAGCAAAAACCTCTCAAAAAAAAAAAAAAAAAAAAAGGCAACCTGGAATCAGCAAATGGTGTAATGAATGCATCACTGGACTCCCACATAGTCAGCTGCGGTTTGATTCCCAAACTGGTTGCATGAAACTCATGCCAGGCACTTTTGCTTGAGTGCCCAAAATCCGGAGAGGAGAATGAAGGAGAAGGGATTGCAGTGTGGCCATCCTCCCCCCCCCCAACCCCCCCGGGGGGTGATTTTTCACCATCTGTCTATCCATCTCTCTGTCTCTCTCTGGCGAGCATACATGCCCTATGGCAAAAATCTCTCGGAGACCAGTAGTTGGTGTAATGGCTATGTCGTTGGACTCCCATGTAGTCGACGGTGATTCAAGTCCTGGACCTGGTGGCTTAAACTCATGCCAGGTGCATGTACGTGCGTGCCCAAGATGGCTATCCCCCCTCGGGGCGCGTGATTTCTTGCTTTCTGTCTCTCTGTATCTGTCTGTCTTTCTGGCAAGGGCAAGTGCCCTATAGCAAAAACCTCACCCCGACCCTCCTCCCCCAAATATCTCTACAGAAAAAAAAAAAAAAAGGAAAACCTAGAGAAGCTCCTACCAGGCAACCCAGAATACCCTTGCCAATCCTTTGTGAAGGCTAGCAACCCTCACAACAAAAGAAGAGCCCTTGCTCATTACTGAATTATCAGTTTTGCAGCGTTTAGTTAGGATTTTTTGGTTCACCATTATGCCAAGATAAAGGAAAGAATATCAGTGCCTGTCCAGAAGAGTAGAATGGAACTTCCATGTACTATATCCTACTAGAGAGAGGAATGGACGAGGAGGAATAGACTGAGAAATATGTAA